CCTGCGGGTGGCTATTTTACAACAGAAAAACTTCAAAAACAGACTCCAATGAGAGACTGCTGAGCTGGAATTGATATGCAAACTAGATACAATCAATTTAGGATTGATTAAGGAGTTGGGAATGGCTGAGCCATTACAAACATTGAATCTATCTCCCCTTGTAAGTATTCTCACACTTCTTATCAAACTGTCTGTACTGGGCTATCTTGATTATCACTTCAAAAGTTTTTTTTTTCTCTTACTTAATTGGCCTCTCAGAGCTGGTAAGACAACTCCCAACTGTTCATGCTCTCTGTATGTGTGTATATATATCTCCCCAATATATGTTCCATTCTATATGCATCCGAAGAAGTGGGCTGTAGCCCACGAAAGCTTATGCTCTAATAAATTTGTTAGTCTCTAAGGTGCCACAAGTACTCTTGTTCTATTTGGTTGTGTATTCCTATGGTGCTCTAAAATGGCGAACACACTTACCTGACACTTAAGAATATTTCTAAGTTATATTAACAACTTGATATTTACTTAAACTGAGGTTATTTATTAAGGCTAGATTGTGGTTAGGGTAATAAGGCTACCCTGGGAGGTGGGTGGGTGCAGGAGGTACCCATCCCAAGCTCCCTGAATGCAGTGTTCGATCTGTTCCGATCACAGCTCTGGGCACAAGGAACGAACAAGGGCTCTTGCAGCCAATGCTCCCCACGCCCACTGTGAGCAGGTGGATGGGGAGTGACAAAGCCACAGTTTTATTCTGGAAGACATGCTTCAGTCAAACACAAGGTATTAGGTTCAATACAGGGGTAACTGGGTTAAATTTAACGGCCAGTAACATACAAGAAGTCACACTACATGATTTAATGGTCCCCTCTGGCCTTAAACTATGAATCTATTACCCCTACCTGTTGGCCAGCAGAGGTAGGGTGACCAGACGTTCCGATTTTATCGGGACTGTCCCGATATCTGCTTGTTTGTCCCGCGTCCCAACTGATGTTCGGCCGGGACACTGGACAAACAAACAATTTTGCCCTCCGCTCCGGCGCTTGCGCCGCCCCCCCCCTGACTCCGCCCCCTCCTTCCCCCATTGGATCCCTCCCCCAAATCCCCTGCCCTGACCCCGCCTCTTCCCCAAGCACTCTCTGGGCACGCTGCAGCCAGCCCGGTCTGCTGCCCTGGCCGCAGCTGGCTCAGCGTGTGGGGCGGGTGACTGAGGAGGGACCGGAAGCCAGAGCTTGGCCGCTGGCGCGCAGAGCCTCTTCCTCAGTGGGTGGGGGAGCCGGTCCCCTGCCCGTCCCGCCGCAGGGATGAGGCGCACTGGGCTGGGTAGTGAGCGGCGGCGGCGGGAGGGGCCCGGCCTGGGCTGGGGCGAGCGAGACGCGTTTGCAGCCGCCACGCCAGGGGTTCCCGAGGCGAGGCAGGAGCTCAGCCCCTCCGCGGCCGCGCGTCTTCCCAGGACCTCGCCTGTCTCTCGAGCAGCCCCGGGGCCCCTCCGCCGGCAGCCAAGCCCAGCCCAGGCCCGCAAACGCCACGTCGTAGCGCCGCTCTCTGCACCCAGCGCTGCCCGGCCCCCTCCAGCCTGGCCCTGCACGCCAGCAACCGGAGCAGCTCCCAGCCCGGGAAGGGGTTTCTCAAACCTGCCCCCGCGGGCCGCCCAGCCCGAGACACCTTCCACGCTGGGCTGCGCCGCCCTCCGCGTCCCGATATTTCACCTGGGTGATCTGGTCACCCTAAGCAGAGGTGGCAAGACGCAAGGGGGCAGAGAGAATGTTGTGTCCTGTAAAGGACTTTAGCTTTTGTGTCCTGTAAAGGGCTTTTTTTAATTAAAAAAAAAAAGAAATCAAAATATTCCATTGGAAAATATATACTTACACATGCCCAAGTTCATGTGCTATAGTAAATGCAGCACTTAATCCATTTTCTTCACTTATAGAACAGCTGCGCAGTGGGTCACACATTGTACCTAATTCTGCTAAACCTGGAAAAATGAATTTTTATATAAAAGCCTAACAGTAAAATATTCATGTAGAAGTACTGACTATATTGGATATTAAGGGGTACATGTTCAAAGTGATGCCTAACGGATATAGCCAGAGGCACACAAATTAAGCACCTACCTTGATCCAGAAAATCATTCCCAGAATATATATCAAGCCAAGGTTACATTACCAAGGATGCAATACCATAAAGGTTCACTTTCTAAGATGCACATTGTAAACTTTACATTTACAGTATGATTTCCTCATATCTGTAATACAATTCTCTTACAAGTTCTCTTTAAAATATTATACTGATTTAACAAAGTAGCTTACCTAGAGTATCACACTTCTCTCTAGCTCTGCAGATATCTTCCCTTGAAGAAAAAGATTTTATTTGAAACTATTATAATATCCAAAAGAGAATCCAAAATTGTATTCCAAACAATAAAAAACACAGAGGACCAGATCCCGAGCTGGTATAAACTGATGTAACTGTATTGACTTCAATGGAGTCAATGGATCAGAACCTTCAATGATTTAAACCAGATGTGGATTTGATGCATAATTTTTAATATTTAAATGTATAGAGCAGTTTTAAATTCTTGTGAACAAGTTAACTTAAACTTAACAGACTTAGCCCACACTATCACTGTCTCTCAAACTTGCACTGAACAAAGAGCCTAAATGCTACGTCCCAGATCCCCAGATACTTAGGTACCAAGTCCTGTTTTTAGGTGCTGCTGCAACCCACAAAACTACCATTGTTTGGCTGCCACCTAACCCCATAGGCATCTAAACTCACTCAGTGCCTAAGTTTTAGTAGTAAAAGTTCCCTAGGTGTCTACATTCCTGTCTCTGAGCTTGCGCACTGCAGCCTCACTCTAGGCCTCTGGGCACCCACCTCCTGCCTAAGTGCCAGAGCAATCCACGAGCTGGGGAAAGACAGGTAGTCACCTGCCTAAGTTTGCATGTGGACCCAGTCCAGTAGTCATGCTCAGAGGCCACCTAACTGCACACAAAATAACTCAGGGGATGGGGGGAGAACAGAAGGTGGATATGCCTTATAATCTTTAGCCCAGTGGCTACAGAACTCACTAGGATTTGGGAACCCACCCAGCTGATAGGGAGGGATTTGAACAGAATCTTCTACCTCTCAAGTTAGTGTCTTAACCAATGGGCTATAAAGTCATCCCCACTCTGTCTTTGCCCTCAAATAACATTTAATTATTCAATTATTTAATTAAAGTGGAACAACTTCAGTAGGACAGATTGAGGGAAACCCACACCAGAATATTCTATGGCCTAATGATTAGGCCATTCACTTGAGAAATAAGAGACTCCTGTTCAAATCTCTTCTCCTCATCAGGCAGAGGGAGGAACTGAGCTAGTGGTCTCCCACATTCTGGGTGAGTGCACTAACCACTGGGATAAAAATTATAAGAGTTTCCTCCCAGTTGTTTTGTGTGGAATTAGGCAGCCTCTGAATATACCTACTGGACTGGGTTCCACATATAACTTAGGAAGAAGAGCGCCTATTAGGTGACCAGCTGTCCGGTTTTCGCCACGAACCGCGGCCAATGGGAGCTGCGGGAATGGTGCCTGTGGGTGAGAGCAGCGTGCAGAGCCGCCTGCTGTGCCTCCGCCTAGGAGCCGGACCTGCTGGCTGCTTCCGGGGCGCAGCGCAGTCCACGGTGCCAGTACAGGCAGGAAGCCTGCCTTAGCCCCACCTGCTGCACCGCTGACCGGGAGCCACCAGAGGTAAGTCCGTGCCCCAACCCCAAGTCCCAGCTCTGAGACCCCCCATAAACCCGGAGCCCCCTCCTGCACTCCAAACCCCTCATCCCCAGCCCCACCCCAGAATCTGAATCCCCAGCCAAGAACCCAGACCCCCTCCCGCACCCTAACCCCCTGCCGCAGCCCAGAGCCCCCTCCCACACCCTGAACCCCTCATCCCCAGCCTAACCCCAGAGCCCACACACACTCCCACACCCTGAACCCCTCATTTATGGCCCCATCCTGGAACCAGTGCCCCCAGTTAGAGCCCTCATCCCCTCCCGCACCCCAACCCCCTGCCCCAGCCCAGTCAAAGTGAGTGAGGGTTGGGGAGAGCGAGCCACCGAGGGAAGGGGAATGTATTGAGCGGGGGGCAGGGCCTCAGGGAAGGGGAGTGACAGGGGGCAGGGCCTCAGGGAAGGGGCGGGGCTAGGGTGTTCGGTTTTGTGGGATTAGAAAGTTCGCAACCCTAATGCCTATCTTCCCCCATTTTGTGGATCTCTAGCAGAGCTAGGCATCTCCCCCTGCAGCCCAAATTGAGACACTGAACTCCATAAGATGGGCAGGGTTGAGTCTTAATACACCTCCTTCTTCTTGGGTCTCCCATTGGCTAGCTTAGGCAGTTCTCCACCTAGCATGCTGGCTTTGTGGATCACATTCTAAGGTGCCTATCCATTCCCATTCATTATATAGGGGGCTAGGGGCCTAACTCCAGTTCTATGGATCACAGTGTTGTTCCTGTAGTTTTATAGGGGGCTAAAAGTTAGGTGTCATGACACTCAGCATCACAATCCCTAAGTCCCTTTTGTGGATCTCAGCTTATGCTATTTCCCTGGACGGTTCACAATGCAGAGCAAGCATAGAAATGCTGCTAAAAATTGTGCTGTAATTTTCTGGAAATTTGAAACTGCCCTAAGCAGAGAAACCAACAACTCTGCTGAAATAAAAAAATTAAATTCAGGACAAGATCTAAATGCAGCTTATTTTTTTTTCCAGTGGATATAAAACGATATATCAGAGCAACTGAAAGAGAGAGAACAATTAGGGAGGGTATATCTTTTATGCTTGAACACCAGAAAGACCGAGAGAAGTGGAGACAGGAGGAATATATATTAAATCTAATGCTTTCCCCCTGTAAAGTATTTATTAATTTTGTACACTACACTCCAAAAGTAAACCATCATTAAGTCAGTGCAATAGATTCCATTAATGTTATTGCTTTGGTACAGCACCCTAGCACTGACTGAACTGTATTAGTACAATGGGTAGAACCTTCATTTCACCACATCACAATTTCAAGGGTGATCCTGTCCCACTGACTTTAATGGGAACTGTATCAACTGGCCTGTTACCAACACAACATTGTCATTGTAATTTTTCATGCATTGTTTCTCTGTGGTCTCAGGATACAACTACACTTGAGCTGAAGGTATAGTTTCCAGCTCAGGTAGATATACGCATGCTAATTCTGATTGAGCTACTGTGCTAAAAATGGAAGCATAGCCACAGAGGTGCAGGCAACGGAATGGGCTAGCCATTGGAGTAAGTACTGAAAGTCTCTGGCAAGACTGTACTTGAGCAGCAAGCCAACCCTACCACCTGCGCCACCACAGATACACTTCTATTTTTAGCGTACTAGCTCCCTCAAACTAGCGTGCATACATCTACCTGAGCTGGAAACTACACCTTCAACTCAAGTGTAGATGCATCCTCGGAGTACAAAACATTTAATTTTATTCCACTATTGATTTCTTCATTTACTTTAATTAACTTTGAAATATTTCAGTGCAACAGTTAACAATAATGTCAGAAACCAACTGTTACTCGTCTGACCTAGTTCAATAAATGTGACTATTTCAGAGGCTGTACCTTGTGATGAGAACAGCAGTATCATGATGAGAAGGGTGAGCATCATCCAGAATGTTCTGTGTTTGTTGCCATAAACAAAAATTACGAAGAGTGGTAGCTGCATTAAAACTGATGGCTGGTCCTTCCTGTACAGGAAATTGCCAAGACACAACAAAGACTGTAAAACTCATTCACTTGCAATAATTCAGTCATGTGGGATCCAATTCTGCAAGCTGATCTGTGTGGGTGAACACCAGGCGGGGAGTCAATAGGGCTGTATGCAGGAGTCCACCCACACAGATTAATTTACAGGATCAGAGCCGTAATGCGGCCAGTAATCAGACAGACAGTAATATAACCAGTCTTGTAAATCAGTAAGTATAACCCTGTGTCATATACTTATTATAAAGACACTGTTAGAAAAATATTTATGACAAAATAAATCAACATAAAAACATATTTTAAAAAATTCAGATCTGTGTTATGCACACTATCTTGGACTGATACAATTTATAACATCTAATTTGTCATGTTTGGTTTTTTAATTTCACTCACGTTTGGACAATAAAACTACAGTCTTATGGTAAATATCCTTTCCTCCTTCTCATACACTGCTGCAGTGCTGCTGTAATTGAGACCAGATTATCTTGCCCTACTGACAGACCACAGACGACAACTCGGGAAGGAGGAACCATTTGTAAGATTCACTTTGTGGCATTTTCAGCAGATTGTATGAGGGGAGGGGATACTATCTCCCATGCACCCTGCAAAACAAAAGATCTCAGGGGATCCATCAGCAGTTAGGGCCTCCATGCTGCCACCTGTCGCACGACCCCTTATGGAACTCCTGAATTCCCCTGTCAATATGGTATTAATGAAGCCACGCTCAGGAGACTTATCCTGCAGGTAGCTGCCCTATAAGCCCTTCTGAGGGTCTGACTTAAAGCCCGTTTTAGTCAATGGGAATTCCTAAAAGAAGGGATGGAAGGAGTTCTACAATAAAAATAAAAGGTTCTGCAGTAAACCTCTCTTTGTGTGTAAACTAATTCCACTTGGAGCTATAGTTAACCCTGACACCTACATTCTTTCTTTGTTTTGTTTGGGTTTGGAGGTTTTTTTGTTTGGAGGTTTGTTTGTTTTTATATCAACAAAGTGATGGTCACAGTAAAAGTAAATGTAACTGACCTTAACATTTAAAAAACAAACTGTTTTTGTTGAAATTATTTTATTTTAAAAAATTAGCGTGCAAACAAATATTTTGTGCCTAATCTGTGGAAAATATCCTATTAATAAGTATATTTTTCTTACCTGTTCATTGTGAATTACAATTAGTTTTACAATCATTATATTTATGAGATTTCCAATACTTGAGTCTTTGTAGATTGCTGCAACCTAGAGAGAAAAAATTCGTAGGATTAGACTGCTAAAACCATATGGCAAACTTGAGATCTCTTAGTATTTTCATACTCAGTTATTTAGTTAAAATTTTATATTCAGTTATAAGCATTCAAATACCACATTGGTTACCAGAAGATGGACAGATTATACTAAATCTGTCGTTTGTGTACTATAACTGCATATACTTGTTTACTATAACTGATTAATTAACACTGAATAAGACTAAGGTCAAATGGACTCTCCATAGATATGACAGAGACAAGATAGGTACTGGACCAACTTCTGTAGGTGGAAAGTACAAGCTTTCAAGCTACACAGAGCTCTTCTTTAGGTCTGGGGAAGGAAGAATAGTGTTTGAGCTAAATTTAAGTTGGAACAGACTGTTAAGCAGAAGGGCTAAAATGTTGGAGGTGGTCACTTGAAATGAAGTGGGAAATTGGGCATTAGATTATTATGAACAGAGGGTCTGAAATGGGCAATTTAGGGCACCAAGCAGTATGGTGTGTTACAAATTGTTGTAATGAACCAGAAAACTTGTGTCTCTGTTAAATTCATGGCTTTTGGTGTCTAGCAGAGTTATAAAATTCCCAAGTTCGCCTTTTGAAGGTGTTGTGCAGGTTTTCCCTGAGGACAAGTATTGCAAGATCAGATATGGAGTGATCACTTTGTGAAAAGGGTTCGCCGACAGGTGATGTTTGTCTTATCATTTTTCTGTGTGAGTTCATTCGAGAGTGTAGTGATTGTTCCATTTCACTCACATAGTTGTTGTTGGGGCATTTGATGCACTGGATAAGGTACATCGCATGTTGTGACAAGCATGTGAAGGACCCATAAATCTTGAAAAGTGTATTGTGGGGGTACTGATCATCATAGCAGTGGAGATATGTCTGCGAGTTTTGCATCTGTTGCTCTGGCAGTGTCTGGTGCTGCTTTGAGTTGGTGTCTTCTGGTCTATGGGGAGCTTGCTTTAGATGATGAGCTTGATGAGGTTGGGGGGTTATTTGAAGGCCAGAGCAGGAAGTTTTGGCAAGATTTCTTTTAGGATGTGGTCCCCTGAAAGAAATCTTTCCCAAATCCCAATATAAAAGTCAGCCTACATGGATCCCTTTGTAAGACCAGGGAATAACACAGCAGGGCCTGAGACACGCCATTGAAGTTAATGGAAGCTTTGCCACTGACTTTAGTGGGAGCAGAACCAAACTTTAAGAGACTAGTTTCACTGCACCAAATATTTTGCAGGAGATATTTTTTGCACATGCAAAACCTACATTTGCATAAGCAAACAGGCATTACTGCACATAAATCAGGTAGCTAGACCACAGCGCTCAGTGGCTAAACCCATAGACCAGGGTGAAGCCACACTGAAAGCTTACCCTTCATATAGAAAAGTAACTGTGTGTGAGGGATCGCAGGTCTCAAATGCAGACCTATAAGTCTCCAAGCAGTGCCCAGACCACAACTGCCACCAGAGAGCTCTCCAGAACCATTAGGGATAGGTGCTAGCAGAACTCTAGCCTACCAGATGCTCTGCCTATGAAGCTCCTGATTGGAGCAGACATCTGGTCCTACCGATTGGCCCACACTACCTGAGCCAGAAGGAGGCACAGGAAGTTGTCTAAGCAACTGAATGAACTCCTAATCAGCTGATGTACAGGACCCAAAGCCCTGACTCTGGTTTGATCCTGGCATTGTTACCTGACTCCAGTTTGATCCTTGATACTGCTACTGATTCTTATTTTGGCTTCACCTCCGGCACTGTTCCCTGGTTCCTGACTCTGACTTGACCCTGGGCATGGCTATCTGACTCCAGTCCTGACCCTCAGCATGAGTCCTGACCCCCCGACTCTGGCCCCAACCCGTGGCATGATCCTGACCCTGTCTCTTGCTCTGACTCTGGCCTTGGTTGCTGGCTTCTGACCCTGACTCTGACCTCTAGGCCTGAACGCCAACGCCCCTGTCCCTACACTGTGCCTCTTCAAGATGTGTTGTCTACATGTAATCCCATGTGCATTAGATTGGATTCTTTTGGCAAGAAGTGTCCATCGGAGCTGCACTTGTGCCCTAGATACCCTCACATCCTCCCTCCCCATACCACCCCAGTATAAAGGGGAGGCAGGCCCAACCATTTCTCAGTTCTTTCACCAATACCCAACCCTGATGTGGGAAGGAATATATAGTAGCAGGAAAGGAGGGCAGGTTGTCGCATCCATGTGGACAAAACATCTTAAAGAATGACATTTATTCTAAGGTACTTAAGTAACCATTCTTTTTTCTTCAAGTAATTTTCCACATGCATTCAACTCTTGGTGACTATCAAGTAGTTCTCTGATTGCTTGGAGATAGGTACTAAGAGTCCTGCCTAAACAATGATTGCAGGACAGCCCTACCAAAATGGGCATCCTATTTGGAAGCTTTGACCAAAAGATTAGTCTCACAAATGTGAGGACCAAGCTTCATGTATCTGCCTTACAAATCTCAGGAATAGAGGCATTCTTCGAATACACAGAGGTTGCCTGACCTCTGGTGGAATGAGATCTAATGTGTCCAAGTGGATCCAACTTGGGCAGCTCATAACACGTCCATATGTAGTTGGACACCCATTTTGATAGATTTCTGTGAAGATACTGCCTGATACTTGACCCTATCAGCAAAGGCCACAAAGACCCAGATCTTCAAAGGTATTTAGGCTCCTAACTTCCACTGAAATCAATGGAAGTTAAAAATCTAGATACCTCTGAGGATCTAGGCCAGTCTAGGTGTGTTTCTAAATAATTTTGTCTTGGTAAGGTAGTATGACAATGTCTTTACCATGTCAAGTGTATGAAGTTTAGCTTCCGCTGGGATTGGGTGAGGCCTGGGGAAGAAACCGGGGAGATGAATAAACTGGTTCCTATGGAACTAAAACTACTTTTGGCAGGAACTTGAGGTGAGGCCTGAGAGTAACTCTAGCCTTCTGAAATACTGTATAAGGGGGATCCATCATATGGGGATGAATCTCTCCCCTCCCCACCTTTGAGCTGATGTGATCGCTACTAAAAAGGCAGCCTTCATTGATAGGTAGTAAAGGGAAGATGTTATTAAGGGTTCAGAGGGGAGACCCATCAATCCTGTTCATATCATAGAGGTCCCAAGAGGGAGGGAGCTACTGAACTGCAGAAAAAATATAACTGAGGCCCTTAAGAAATCCAGTCACTGTAAAGTGAGAAAATACAGTGTGCTCCTGGATAAGAGGGTAATGTGCAACTATTGCTGCTAGTTCTCTTATGGAACTAATAGAAAGCCCAAATTGTTGCAGGACTAGTAAATAGCCCAATATCAATGAAATAGGGGTTGTCAAGGGAGACAGCTGGTGCCGAGATGTCCAAATATATAAAGCTAAGTGAGAGAGGTTTCTATCAGTCTAGCTGAGGATTTCCCGCTTTGGAACAGACTGTTCTGAATTTCAGCTGAACAGCTTCTTTCGGTGGATATCATCCAGTCAGCAGCCAAGTTGTCAGATGTAACAATGCTGGGTCAACATGTAGGATCTCACCATTGTTCTGTGAGATTGTATCAGGTAGAGGAGGTAAAGTGATCAGAGGCTGCATTAAGAGGTTCACTAGATCTGAATACCAGAACTGTCTGGGGCCCAGACCAGGACCAGCATGATCATCATCTCTGCCTCTTGACTCAGATTCTTGATATCACTAGACCTCAGTCCCAATATCGAGGTGATGAAAAAGACAACTGCAGGGAGCCTGAACTGGAGCCCCATCTAGATCAGCAAACTTGGCATAATTGTTCTGGTCTGTGAGAAATAATTCCATGGATGGCTATCTCCATTTGCAAAGGATGCTCTTCAGCACTGGATCCTTGAGCAACCATTCATGGTTGTCTGAATTGTCTGTTGTGGTGAGCTGCTAGTGAGTCCTGTACACATGGAAGATGCAAGGCCAGTGGCATGATCCAGTAATGAATGAACAAATCTAGAGCCAAATGGCTTTCTGACAGAGTGGAGATGACCTGCTTCCTCCCTGTCCGTTGACATATAGCGTAGTTGTGGTGTTGGACTGTATCCATGACCATGTGATGACTGCTGTGTAGATACATTGATTTCAACCACCCTTGTCTGGTGCACAGGTGAAGTCTGGCAAACTGTATCACATAGGTGCATGAGGCCATATGTCCATGCGCCTGAGGCATATTTTCACTGATGTCCTTGGCTGAGTTTGAAGTTTGTTGAGGAGGTTCCATCTTAAGGAAGACCGGCTCTCACTGACCTGGAATCTAACACAGCTCCTATGAACTCTATGTTTTGAGTCAGAGAAAATGTGGATTTTTCAATATTGACTTTGAGGCTCAGAGTGATGAGTAGCTTTAATGTTATTTGGTCACCTATTGGGGTGATCTTCCTCAGATGAACTAGTCATCTAGGTATAGACAGAACTGAATCCCTTCTTTCCTTAAATGAGCTGGATAAAACAGCCTTTGTTGAAAATTTCCAGGACCCAGTGGCCCAATGTCATCTGAGTCTAGGCTTCCAAAAAGTAAGAATTAGTTGATGAAGGGGGGTGAAAGGAAGTGAACCTTCAGAGGTTGTCAGGCTCTTGACACCAGTGTAAAACCTGCTTCCCAGTAGAGGATGCAGACTATGCAGCCACAAAAGAAGAGGTGGAGGGTCATTGTCAGTGGAACCTCTCTGTCTTGGCAGCTCGGAGGCTGACAATGTACTGTGCAGAGGGACACCGACTGAAGAAAGCCTGTGGTTTTACTTGCTTCCTTCTTGGGACTGGAATGGAGCTTTGCCAATTTACACCAGCTGAGGATCTGGGTACAGCATTTAATTTTTGAACATTTGCCTAGGCTCACTACAGAAGCAGCTTTTCCTCTCCTGGAATTGACACCTCCTCATCTATTATTGGGAGTGGACTACATCCACCCTGATTGAATTGGCCCTGTCAACACTGGTTCTCCACTTGTGAAGTAACTCCCTGCTCTCCCTGTGTCAGTATATAATGCCTGCATCTGTAACTTTCACTCTATGCATCCGAAGAAGTGAGGTTTTTACTCACGAAAGCTTATGCCCAAATAAATCTGTTAGTCTTTAAGGTGCCACCAGACTCCTTGTTGTTTTTGTAGATACAGACTAACACGGCTACCCCCTGATACTTGACACCCTGATGTCACTCACAGATCTCTTTTTATCCAATCTGAATGCTCAGCATCAGCTGGTTTTCCTTCAGTGCAAATGGGCTGAGTATGCTAAGGACCAAATTCTTTCATTAAGGGACATACTAGAGTAGGCTGTAGGAGGAATTCAATGTCTCTCAGATCTCAGTTCTATGGTGTGCAACCACTGCACTATTCCTTCAAAAGTAGCAGCATGTGCTTCTGTCTGCAGCTAACCAGAGGGTCAGTGTGCAGGAGAGGAGGAGGAGGACCAGAACCAAGCCTCCACCGCCTCCTCATCCCTTTTGTGATGACGAGCACATACAGAGACACTATCCCTAAGCCGCTCTAGCATTTGGGTCTTCTCTTCCCTCCAGATCCTCAGCTGGTGTTAATTATGTATTACTATTATTAATTATTATTAGTATTATTATTATTACTGTTGTTTATTACCATAGTGCCTCAGAACCTTAGTCAACATGAACCAGGACCCTATTGTGCTAAGCACTGTACAAACACAGAACGAAAATCACAGTCCCTGACCCAAACAGATTACAATCGAAGTAGCTCCATTAGCTGAAGCCAACTGAGAATCTGATTATTATTTTGAAAATGCTTGTAGCACAAATATAAAATAACCTGAGCATTTTATTTCACAACAGCTACATGTTCTTACAACAGCTACAAAAACTGCACCGCTGTGTAAATGTATTCATTTTACTTTAATATTACAGTGAATTATTATGTATTACTAATTCTTTTAATGTTTTATCAAATCAACGGCTAGATTTTACCACATTCACTTATGGTAAGTAGCACCTTACTGCACCGAAGTCAACAGAGCTACCAGCTAAGGTTCTGGCCCCAATCTTCTATATTTACAGGAGTTCCTGTTTCAGTACAGAATTCCATCTGCCTTGATACAGATGCTCCAGTAAATTTAAAGGGTATATAATTTTACAGGGAAAATACCAGTACAGTAATAAATTCACTTACTATTGGCAACATCATTTAGGTTTACTTACTATTGACATAAGTGTTAATATATAGTGCTGCAAGCTCCGTCCATGGTGACGAACCATTTTGGTATCAGCTGTAACCATCACCTCTACATATCTTGGATAAGAAAGAAAACGTTTTTTCCGGGAATGTGGATTGCTTCTATCAACCTCTATTGATAGATTTTTAAAAGCATACTCTAAAACTGTGGCCTTTTGTAAAATATTTAGGTCTTCATTTAAACTGCCGTAGTCTGGAAATGGTAACGTGATTTTCTTCATCTCTTTTTCTGTAAGATAAAAAAAAAACACTTACTATAGCATGCAGTTTCTAAACTTAAAGAGAGTAAGGAGAAAGATTGCACAAAATAAAGTGAGAAAGCTGTAATATTTACAATCTGCTTCCAAAATGAATCATTGTAAGCATAAAACATTAGATAGGGAAGCCTGAAACAGGAATGTCAAACTGGATATTTACAGTACACTATTATACAGCTGTCCCATATTTGGTGTCATTGTAAGAAATGACATTGATACCACCCTAGTGCCTAAGTGCCCTAGTCAATGTGGACCAGGACCCTATTGTGCTAGGTGCTGTACAAACACAGAGCAAAAACATCATTCTTGTCCCAAACAGGGGAAAGAGACATATTATATACCTTTTAGAATGCAAATCATTTTAAAATTCAAACTGACAAGCTGGAAGGACAAGAGCAGTGTGATGTCCACCAGTTTAAGGGGGAAAATCTGATACAATGCAGTTGTAGACAAGACAACAACTCATTGTAATAGCTACACTCACCATCAAGGCTTACAACAAACAGACAAATACCACATAAAAGAAAGATCTCAGAACTGCTACCCAAGTGCTGTCTCTGCCCAGACTCTGGCTGCACATGTTCAAAGGGGTTCTGCAAGGACACAGATTAATTGCATTAAATGTATGTGAAGGAGTCAAAGAAGCAAGAATTTGACACACAGAAGAGGAAGAAAGAGAGGACAAAGGAATACACAATCAAGGGCCAGGTTGTGGAGCCTTCCCGGATTGTGCTCCTCGACCACAAGGCCTGCTCCAAGCTAATGCCACTAGTCTCATCTAGGGAAGTAGGAAAGACAGAGTGAAGTTGGGGCCATTGCGCTTCCCTTTCTGCCCCCCTCAGCCAACTAAACTAAGCTAGCACAGGGAGGAGGAACTCATGATCTATACTTTCAAAGGGTCACAAAACTGTAGTGCCACTGCAGCACATAGCTAGCCACAGCCAGAATTCCTTCCAACGTGCCTGTGGCACCAATCCCCCCCACCCCCCAATGTTCTTTAGCCCACAATATGATCAGAATGATTTTGATACTATAGCACAAAACAAAAAGTTATCACTACAGTAATTGAAACGTTAAGCATAGAAAGGTTTTATGCATGCATAAGTGCTGCTTTTCACATATATTTCATAAGCTTTATTAAATGTCAAAATGAGCAATGTATTTTCATGACAGAAAGGGCATTTATCATGTACTGAACAAATAACATACACATTTAAAACATTTACAATCAATGTTTACCAAATATTCAAACAACTCAGAAGAAACTATTCTGTACAATCAAATAAATAACACAAACCAACAAAAGCCAGGAAGTGTATAAACAAGGCTGACACTGAAGACTTAACTCAGGTCATTACAGGGATTTTGTTTTGTTTACACTTTTATGTCCTTACTGTCATGTAAACATAATTTTTTGTATTTAATTAATTAAGGGCCTGAATTCTTTGTGCACCCAAAACCCCTAGTCCCAATTTGAGGAGACATACCCGGGCTAGCCCTGATAGAACACAGCCTTAGCGGCACAAGCTCTAGGAGGGGTATGCCACCCGGACTATGTCTCTAGAGTCTCCGATGGGTACATGCGCAGGGACTTAGCCCTTCCATCACTTGTGCCGCCAGGTCTACCCACTATTTTTAGCACACTAGTTTGATCCATGCTAGGGCAGGTATATCTCCTCAAACTGGGGATTACATCCCCAGCTTGAAGTTCAGACATACCCTAAGACACCCGACTCCCTATACAATATATGGGGAGAGTTAGGCCCCAGAGAATGGGATTCACAAAAGCCAGCACACTGACCAAGGAGCCACCTGAGCTAGCCAGTAGAAAATACTGAAGAGAGGAACTTGGCCTAAGCCTTGCCTCCAAAGGGACTTCAGCACCTAAATCTAGCTGGTGTCATTCTTGCTCCTGCTCTAGCCCAATCTATATTTAATTATTTATACATAGTGGAACAGTTCCAACAGAAGAGACAGGAAGCCCTGCTACAGAATATCCCCATAGCCTGGTAGTTAGGGTATTCTCCTGGGAAGTGGGGGATGCAAGTTCACAATCCCAACTCACATTAGGCAGAGGCAGGAATTGAACTTGGTCTTCCACAGCCTGGGTGAGTGCCCTAATTGCTAAGTGTAAGGGAGGAGCTACTACTCCTCTTCCTCCTCTCTGTCCCCCAGCTGTTTTATGTTGGTTTAGATGTGCTTTGAGAACATCTACCAGATCAGGCCCTAAATACAACATAGGTGGAAAACACCTACGTTGTGAATCCTACTCAGAATGATCAGTGAGTGAGGCGCTGAGCTGCTGTGCGCTGTCAGGATTGAGGTGGCTTTGCACAAGCTCAGCAGCAGAAACTTACGTATCTAGGGACTTCAGGCCCCTGTATAATTAGGAGGCACCTGAACAGGGGTTTTGTAAATGCCAGTAGGGCCTAAATGTCAGACGTAGGTGCTAAAGTGACAGCGAGACTCCTAGGGTACATCTACATTACCCGCCGGATCGGCGGGTAGTGATCGATCTATCGGGGATCGATTTATCTCATCTAGACGCGATAAATAGATCCCCGATCTCTCTGCCGTCGACTCCAGAACTCCACCACAGCGAGAGGCAAAAGCGGAGTCAACGGGGGAGCAGCGGCCATCGATCCCGCGCCGCGAGGACGTGAAGTAAGTGATTCGAAGTCGATCTAAGATGTGCCGACTTCAGCTACGCTATTCTCATAGCTGAAGTTGCGTATCTTAGATCGCTTCTCCTCCTCTTCCCCCCCCCCCCCCACGTGTAGAATAGATCAGGTCCTAGGTTCCCCTTGTGAATTCCACTCTGGGTGTCTAAAGCAAGCCAACCAAAATAAATATCCGAAGTCTGATTTGCCTGTCAGATGCTAACAGTGGATTAACTCAATTGAAGTCAATGGATGTATACTGATATAAAATCAATGAAAATGAGGAGAGGCACCCAACAGCAATTTTCTAAATGCATCTTCTACGGAATACAAAAGCTGTGAATCAACTTGTAAATGGTTCTGCTACTTTTCATGAGTAAATGAATCTGATCCTTTATTTTTTAGCACAACTCTGTCTGAACAAGTACAGCAAATACAGCAAAGGTTTTCAGTAGAGCTGATTTGTTATCTGATACTTAAAAAACTGAAATGCTAATTATTCTGTGAAGATCCAATCATAAAGGGTCACATTCTCCTACTCTTACTCACAATGAGTAGTACCATATTCCATGAGGAGTACCTTTGATATCAGTGCAAATATGCATGGTGTAAGTACTCAGTGAGAGTAAGGGTAACAGAATATGGCTCCAAATGCATAATATTACTCCTAATATTTTTAAAAGCACTGAACTATAATTTATGCCCACAATTAAAAGAAAAATTACCATACAATTTCCCATGTATAGCCACATGGCTACATGTAAGGGGGCTTAACTGGGTTTTAGTATCATAATTCACTTGATTGTGATAACAAACGTATCATTTTTGAGAGAATTACACTCCAGGGAAAGCAAGCTGGTGGAGGAGTATTCCACAAATAGTATGTAATTGAATAGGCATACCAGTCACTGGACAATATCCAGTAATGTAGAGGCCTTCAGGAGGTCACTGTATCTCCACCACGTGTTGCCATATGTTGTCCTGCCTCCAGAACCAGGAAGAGCTCACAAGAGGATGGGGATTGGGATACAATGAACAATATCAACAAAGACCTATTAAAATTAGAATCTGGCAGCTTTCAGAAAACTTACAATTATCAGTTTAATATGTCAATGGATCTGATCTGTGAGGGTATGTCTACACTGCAAAAAGCAGTAGTAAGTCTCAGGACCGGGTCAAATGACAGGCTATAAATAGCAACATAGACATTTCTGCTTGGGCTGAAGCCTGGGCTCTAAGACCCTCACCAGGTTTCAGAGCCTGGGTGCCAGCCCAGTAGGAATGTCTACACTACTATTTTTAGCCCTATAGCACAGGCCCCATGAGCCCGAGGCAGTTGACCTGGGCTCTGAGACTTATTGCCATGAAGGTTTTGTTGCAGTGTAGATGTATCTTGAGAGGCTTACCGTGCCTATGTTTTTAATCTTTGAAAATCTAGGGCAAATTTAAGTTTTGGAGTATGAATGCTGGCAGGAGAGAGATCACTTGATCATTACCTGTTAGGTTCACTCCCTCTGGGACACCTAGCATTGGTCACTGTCTATAGACAGGATATTGGGCTCGATGGACCTTTGGTCTGACCCAAAATGGCCATTCTTATGAAAAACTTTTTTATTTTAAACTGGAGACATACAGTTATGATGTGGGATATTTATTCACAGCTGCACATTTATAAATGTTCATGAAAAAAATGTAATGAAAACAAAGGGGATCAGATTTTGATCTCATTTATGCTCATACTAATTCATATCCATTCACTAACAAAATATTGCTCTTTATGATTTCAAAGTTCTCATAGTTTTCATGGGGGGGGGGTGCATTTCAAGGAATTGTTCAGTAGTGCTATGTCATACAATGCTACTGAGTTACAATTCAAGAAAAATAGTGGATATATTTGTGACAGATATGGCAATTTCCTGCAATATCTTTTGGAGAACTTACTGTATTAAGTTTATGTATCATTGGGGGCCAGGAATTAAATGTAATTCCGTGGGAGAAGGTAACCACAGTCCTCCAGGAGCTAAGAACAGTGGGGGGTGATTAGGCAACTTCACTCAGACTGTAATATCTACAGAGCGGTACCACCTCCTGAGGAGGCTTGCCTGTACTAGTTCAGATTGGATTTTCAAGAGGCCAACAGACAAAGAAAGAACTTTTGGATAAATAGCCTGAGTTTAAACTGACTCAGGGATTTTTTTCTGATCCAGCAAACAGAACCTTCTGTTCACTGGGAGAGCTCCAATCCTTAGATGAGGTTGGAAGGACTGACACCAACCAAAGCCCTTATGGAGATGGGGGTTCTTTTATGGTTT